TATGTCAACTTTATACCCTCTCGAACGGCTGTATTATTGACGTCATTGACGCAGTTTCCCTCAATTTTGCTGTCGTCACACACTTTGCTTACTAATATTTCAAGCTAAGGCCTTCCAACAATTTTTCGATTGTACCGATAAGTAAATTAAAATCAAACATTCGATAAAAATATATCTTTGAAAAGTTGGTTAAGATTTTTAAAATTTAGAAAAAATTTTTTTAACATTTAGAAAAATTCCATTATTTATTGATAGCTGTGGTCAAATATTTAAAAAAATTGTATGGTGGGCCTTATTGTTTCTTAACAGTCTTTGGTATAAATTAATGAAATTAAAGTATCCAATAAATTTTTTTCTCTTGAAAATAATTAATTAAATCATGTCAATTATCTATTGCATTTTATTACACTATGTAATACACAGCGGAATTTCAATACTAATCTGCAAAAAAAATGTATTATTTCTGTATAAATATCACATTGTGTATAAAAGTCATGATAGTGAAATTATACGTATGTTAGATGTATAATACCTTAAGCAATAGGGAATTTTTTAGTAGTGTTAAAAAAAATTAAATTAATACTTTTTTTTTACGTACCATTATGGACCTAAGGTTAAAATCTTCGACGGAATTTTGGTGTGCCGGTTTTTTATACAGCTTAAAAATTCCTACTGTATCACCGAAAATTATCCGATCACCGTCTTTGATTTGATAATTAGACAGAGCTCTCAAAGAGAACTGAAAATAATTTTCTTATTAATTGAAATTAGCAACAATCAAACAGTATGATTTTTGTATTCAAATGATACTATTTTCTCGTCAACGTTTGTCTCCTATAAAATTTATCAATGCATTGTGGCTTTACACGCTGATTGATAATTAATCCTTGATGAATACAAACTTTACATTTTCTTGGTCAAATACTTACGTTATTTATACGTGTTTTATTGCATGATTCCAAGTCTTTGAGAAATATTACTGCACCATCAGATTTTGCTTCAATTTGTGCGTGTTTTCTTGATACAGACTGTAAAAAATAAAATAAAAAATCATTTCACGTTATCAATGTAGGGTGATATGTGTTTCAGTGAATAATATCACTGCATAACTGTTAAACCCAAAATTATTTTATACAAAACCGCAAACTTATACACATCTCTTCACCAGAAAAAAAATTGAAAAATTAGCAGCTTTAAGTCGGTAATTTACTGCTCTATTTATTTTTATGTTTAAGTATTCTGCGTGATGTAAAGTTAATATTTTTGTTGATGCGTTGAAAAATGAATTACCATTTGTTTTGCCATTGAAGATTAAATATAATTTTTGTGATTTGTTTTAATTTTGACTGTATCTATTCATTAAGTATAATAGCTTAGTTATCAAACCACAATTGTTTATTGAAACTAACAAAAAAATTATTATAATATTAGTGTGAAGAAAATTTTACACGTTGTAAATCAAAAATAAAAAACCATGCAGTTTGGAAATTTTTTTTTATTCCTACAGTATTTCCGTGACTTAAAAATCATTAATGTCCAACAGCCTCCAAAACCCGTAGCAGCATGGTCCGACGAACTACAAGCAACAAAATTGCCCCAAGAATGTCTGCAATACGACCACAAGCCATATTTCGTGCAAATCGATCGCGTCAAAGGATCCGAGGACTGTCTCTATTTGAATATCTACGTTCCCGATCAAGGTTACAGTAATTCGAGTTTGCCTGTCATGGTATGGATCCACGGTGGTGCTTTGACCCACGGTTCGGGAAACAACTTTACAGAAAAATATTTCATTGACAAAGACACCATTGTCGTGACCATAAATTATCGTGTCGGACCACTAGGTGTGTGTGTACATAGATGATTTTGTCATTTTGATAATGATAAAGACCAATAAAGAGCTGGAAAATTTGTAGGTTTCTTGAGTACCGAGGACAACGTGGTGCCAGGAAACATGGGATTCAAGGATCAAAGTCTAGCTATCCGTTGGGTACACGAGAACATCAAATTTTTTCGCGGTGACCCCAAACGAGTAACATTGGTCGGCCAAAGCGCGGGAGGCGTGAGCGTCCATTACCATTACTTGTCACCCCTAAGCGCGGGCCTCTTCAGCAGGGGTATATCTCTTAGTGGTACTGCTCTCAATTGTTGGGTGCAAACGAAAAATGCCTTGGAAAAGGCCCAAAAATTGGGGGCTCTGATGGGCTGCCCAACTGTAAATAACAAGGAAATGATCGAGTGCTTGAAGAACAGCTCCGCGAGGAGCATTGTTGAATCTGTCAAAGAATTCATGGTGATACATTTTTTGTAGATTAAAAACTTCTTTCTTTTTAATTCCTCTGTTATTGCTACCAAAAATACGTTGGTTTTAGTACTTACTTTACGTGTACACGAATAATTTCGAATTACCTCTTTTGTTTGGACGTATAACGGGCATTTAAAAAAATTTTTTTTTTATCATATTTTACTGATTGTATGCAATAAACACATACACGTTTTGCGCGAGACTCCATTAAAAATAGTTATATTAATATCTTTTTCCTCTTTAACATTGATATTGAAGTGATTATCGGCTTTGAAAAATTCCGGAAAATAATGTAAAATGGTACAAACGTTAGTAAATTCTGAATTTATGCACGAACAAAAAAAAAAAAAAAATTTTGTACTTAAAAAACTAAATTGTCTACTGATTAACTTTGCCAGTTTACGTGTTTATAATATTACTTGGAAAAGTTTTTCTGTATGCTTACAATTGACATTAAATTTATTCATAAAAAAATCACTGATTCATCACANTGAAGTGATTATCGGCTTTGAAAAATTCCGGAAAATAATGTAAAATGGTACAAACGTTAGTAAATTCTGAATTTATGCACGAACAAAAAAAAAAAAAAAATTTTGTACTTAAAAAACTAAATTGTCTACTGATTAACTTTGCCAGTTTACGTGTTTATAATATTACTTGGAAAAGTTTTTCTGTATGCTTACAATTGACATTAAATTTATTCATAAAAAAATCACTGATTCATCACATTGTCACCTCATAGTACAAAACATGATTTTCCAGCCCTGGCTGTACAATCCGTTCACTCCGTTTGGTCCAGTCGTGGAGAAAGGAGGCGACAAGCCGTTCATCAGCCGCCCACCGATTGAAATACTCGAAAGTGGCGAAAGTGGCGATTTTTTGGACGCCCCGTGGATAACGAGCGTCACCAGCGACGAGGGACTCTATCCAGTGGCAGGCAAAGTCCATACTGAAAAAATTATTATTTCTAAGATGTAAAATGTGTCCCCAATGATTTTTTCTCAACAGTTTATTTTTATTATTAGAATTTGCCACCAATGACCGACTTCTGAAGGAGTTGGATGCCAATTGGACGTCCATAGCACCTCACTTATTGGATTTCAATTATACGGTACCACTGAGGTTGCATGAGGAGGTGGCTNACGAGATCATTTGTGATTGTGTGGATTTTTTTCTACAAGTCTGTCTGAAGCGTCAAAAAGTGTTACTGCTAGTACAAAGGCGATTTTTTTTTTAACTCAGCAAATGCTGATCAAGATCTTCCCTTTGTTGGCTTACAATTTTTTCCCTCTCGAGTTTTGAATTCGGACGTAGAGCAACAGCGTGCCCCAGAATTTAATGCCGGCGTGGATGCGTAATAGCATTGGGTTTTCTATTTTTATCCGTAAAAACACGTGTCACTGTTGCTCTAATTTTTTTGCGGGTAGCATTCATTTGTGCACGTAAAGTGCATTCATCACTTTTACGGAAAGTCGGGAAACGTGCGAAGTTTGATTTGTGACGACCTTCTCTGCGTCAAATCTACAAGTGCTTTTTCTCTAGAAATGTGTGTGTTTGAACTGTACCTTGTTTTATGGAATTAGCTGTATTTTATAAATTTATCAAAACTTTATTTGCACAAAACGTTGAAAATACCATATACGTAATGATCACACAAAAAATATTACCATTTGAGTATGGATTGAAAAACGATAAAA